AACTCCCATTTTTCTTTTTCAACATTGAATTCTTCCATCTTTTGGCCCCTGACTTCAAGTTCAGCAATCAGCTGGTTCATTTCAGATTCAAATCCCTGGAACATGATATTTTTCTCACCTTCAAATTTATCAAAGATATCATTCTTCATTTCTTCTAAATCTTTGGCTCGATCCCTTTCTCTTTGCATTTCATTCATGATCTCGCGGTGTTCAGCCTTGTGTTTTATAATTCGCTCTCTTCTGTCGACCTCAAAATCTTCCATTTTTTGCTTTCCTTTCTAAAGGCTTTTGAGTAGACGGCTATTCTTTCCTTTCAGATCTTCAACTCGACTTTTCTCGATATTCAATTCTCTGGTCATCTGTACCGTTGATTGGCTTGGTCCTGATGCTTTCCGGGATTTATATAACTCTTGGTAATTTTTCTTCAATGCTCTAAATTCACCTTCAATTTTTTCTTTGTTTTCTCTCAACATTGCACATTGTGATGAATGAAAGTCAATATCAACACCCAACATAGCTTTATCTCGTCTCATTTGCTCTAATTCTCTTGACCAGCCTTCTTTTTCTACTTCAAACTCAGTTCTCAGGATTTCAATCTCTGATGGAACCACCTTAATACGATCTTCCATAGAGATATCCTCATTTTGATCTGGTAGAGGAATATTTTCATTTTTCCTGACATATCTCCATTCTTCATAATCAGGAGTTAACATTTCTTTTGTTGCTTTAGCTCGGATACAAAAAGTTGTTTTCCAAGCTGTAACGGCTTCCATGATATTTCTTTTATAATTTTTGCTGTGGAATACGAACTCAGATGACTGTAATCCAGCAGTGACAGGTACAAATTGACGACCTTCATACTGTCTTATGACCAGAAGTGGTGCATATCCAATTCCTCCCCATAATCCGAGCAGCATTATCCAATTGTAATCACCACATTTGTAAAAGAATTCCCTTTGGATTTGCCACGGGGCTCGCCAAACAACGTCATTACTTTGCAGATTTCGAAAGGCATTAATCCACATATCTTTCTTAATTTCTTTCAGCCATTCTTGCTCCAAAAATTCTTTTAATGGTGAATAATCCGTATTAAAGCGTCGGTATGAAACCTTTTCTGTCCTCCAGAAATGAATACGGATCCAAACATATAACAACTGAGTACACCCTGAGAATCGTCCACCTCCTAGCTTTCTACAAGCATTTAACGATCTGAAAGTCTCTGCTAGGATTGCAGAAGCAGGATTAATCTTTTTCGGTAGCTGTTCAAACAAATCTACCACTGCAGCTTCAACATATCCCAATACTTTTGGGAAGATGACCATATCATACATACCCAGAGCAAATAGATCGAATCGTACTTTAGTATCTGGATGACTCTGAATAAGTTCTTTAATGTTGGTCCAAGCAATGCCTTCGATTTCGCCTTTTTGTTTTGTACGGGATGCCACCCATTCTTCTCGTACCCCGGCAATCTTTGCTAATTTAACTCGAAAGGGTTGAGTTTTAATTGACTTTGAATAGATTCGATTCTCCAAAGCACCTTCGATATGTAACAAAGTTGTGTATTCTTCAATAGTAGGGACCAAGTCCTCTTTATTAAGAGTAAAGCAATTGTACCCTGGATTCCAGAATTGAATAGGGCTCTGAGTAATTCATCATCAACTTCGACATAGAGCAAATATGGGATGTCTCCGTAAGTCTGATAAAACTGCAATTTTTTGTTTGAATCCCAATTTTCCCAAATACTTCGCAAATCTTGCATATCATTTCTTTTTAGCGAAACTGGAGCATAACTGGCCAAGTCAGATACATAATCATCCTGCAGACTGTCTCCTTCTTGTCTTTGTAAGTCCTCAGCCCACTGTCTTACTTCTGAGTTTAGAATTACTTGATTTGAACACTTTTTATCCATGGATGAAGGCTTTCCAATGAGACAATTAACACAAGGATCAATGCCTTTTATCCTGTATGATGCTATGCAAACAGAAAAATAAAGAACACACAAAAAGAAATGAATTAGTTTACATAATAAAGAAATTTAATAATAACATTTACCTAAATATTTTTATTTAAACATGCTTTTTCATAATTTAAAAAATTTAAATATACATGTAATTTAATTAGTAAAAAAAATTAATTAACAGAAAAATTAGAATTCATTTCTCCTGTGTGTGCACCTATTTTGGACAAAATTTCGGCATGACTTCAGATCGGAAGAGTTTCTAGGGTTTATTATATGCAGGGTTTCAGATCTAAGAATAAAGGTACCCGAATTGTCCTTGTTAGTGTCCCCTTGGGCTACTAACCCTCAATCCTAGTCCATCATAGACTAAAATGGATCGAGTTCAATTCGAGGGGATATATTTCTCTATGCTTGACACGGAGAATAAATCCTCACGAAGACATAGAGCATATGAACCCCGAAAGTTACTTGCTAGGTCTGACACGAGAATAAATTCTCACGAAGACGTCGCTTTCACTCCCAACTTAAAAGGGACAAACTCAATTATAGAGCTTTATGTTATGCAATGCAAGTGTTGTGTGTGAGGAGAAATGTTCAAACCTCTGACAGAAAAAATAAATAATGAAATAAAATACTTGCAAATAAAAATGAAATATTAATAAGAAAATATATACATACTATGAAAATAATAAATATATAAAAAAAATTTGAAAAGGAAAAAATCATAAATTAAATATATAAATTTTAATTTATAATTAATAGAGACAATTTGTAATTGATTTTAAAAGTTTAACCGTCCCCAGCAGAGTCGCCAAGCTGTCGTAACCGGTTTTTGTCTGGGCACGAAATATTATACTTGGCGGGAAAATTGATGTGAATAAATGGATTTTGAAAATAATTTGGGAGTCGCCATCGGCCTTTTTGGGTCAGGTAGGTCAAATACCTAAAAATATTTTTTTTAAAAGAGTTTTAAGAAAACATCAATTAAAAAATTGAACTGATCTACGTTTATAACCAAAAATTCGTTCTTTTTAATAATAAAAAGGGATTCGTGGTCGGTTACGTTTAGGGAAGGATTACACCCCTACAACGCCCAAAATTGGTACTTTTTAATTATAAATTATCTCTATTATTAAAAATTCAAAATATATTTAATTTATAATCCTATTTTTTCAAAATTATAAAAATATTTATTTAAAAATATCGGAAAATGACTTCTAGGTGCCTTAAGACATTTCTTTTCTTCGATATTAATAAATATTAAATAATATTTTTTATAATATTTAATTTTAAAATACCAGAATAGGACATCCAGTTGTATTAAGACTGCCCTTTTCTTCGATATTTGAAAAATAAATATTAAAACAATTTATTAAAAATATATATAAATTATTATTTATTATATATATTTATGACTATATAACAATAATAAAAGTATTTAAATATATAAACAGATAAAACAATAAAAATAAATTAGAACGATATATTTAAAAGCAGTAAAATAAATTTAAAATTAGTGACTAAATTATAGTAAAATTAAAATTAAAAACCTAATTCATAATTAATCAAAATTATAGGGATTAAACATACTATTTTCTTATTTTATTAATTTAATGACTAAAATAAAACTATATAAAATTCGGATATTAGAATAAAATAAATTAAAACATACTATTCAGATTAAAATATTAATTATTAAAATTATAGGACTAAATCTGTTATTTATCCTAAATATATTATTTTAATAAAAGGACTAAAATAAATAAAACTAAAATTTAGAGATCAAATTAAAAGGTTTATAGATTCGATTTAGTGACTAAATTATAAGAGTTACAAGTTGAAATGGCTTCGGACGGGGTTTACCCTTTATGAAATGACAGAAATATCCTCCCCAAAACGACGTCGTTTGGGAGAGGGTATTAATACCCGAAACCGCTTCCTTTCTGTTCTCTCTCTTTCAGAGAGAGACAAATTTCTCTCTGGCTTCTCTCTAGCTGAGGGAAGCCGGTCCTCGGCCGGCAGTCGTCTACCGCCGCTTTTTACGCCGCCGGCCACCGGATGCGGTGGCCGAATTTTTTTTTTTACACCTAAACGTAGATCGGACCATCTTATTGATGGTTCCGATGACCGTTTCCTTTAAAACAATACCTATCAGAGCAAATCTACAAAAATACCTTCGGTTTTCGAAGGTTTCCGATGATGTATGAGGGATTCGGTAAGTATTTCTCCGTCTTTTCCTTGCTTATTTTTGGGTTTTGTGTTTGCTAGTTGTTGGTTGCTATTTTTGTATCTTTGCTCTCGGGTTTTCTTTGTTTTTGCTGGTTATTGGTTGCTGTCTCTCCGTTCTTCCTCCTTTTTTTTTCTTGCAGGTTGGGTGATGGCTTTATAGCCATCACCGGTCCGAAGGGTAAAGTTCAGTGAGTCACCGGACCGTAGGTGGTGACTCACCCCATGGTTGGAACGTGGACGGCGTTCCTTGCTTCCTCTGGATGTTTCTGTTGAAGCGTGGCAGCAGTTGATGGACGGGTCAGAGAGGCGGCCGGCGTCGTGGCCCTAGGGTATCATAACCCTAGGGTTTCCTGCTGGAACCATCTGGACCGTTGGATCTTGCCAGATCCAACGGTAGCAGGCTGAGGCGGCTGGGGAAGAGGGAAACCCTAATCTGGTTTAGGGTTTCCATTGGCTTCTGGATTTGGGCCACCATTTTGTAATTGGGCCTCCATTTTGGGCTTGGAATATTAAATAATATATATTAATAATAATAATAATTATTATTATTATAATTATAATAATAATAATTATAATAATAATAATAATAATATAAATAACATTAAAATGAAAAAAATGAATATCTTCACATCGATCGCGGAAACGTTGGTCAGAATCTTTCGACATGACTTCCGCTTGCACACACGCATACATGGTAGTGTTCGAATCGATCACCCGAAAAGTCAAAAGACTTGCATTAACACGTGGTTCTACTCTTTAGTACATCTACCAAACTGATATTCAAGGGTGGACTTTGTGCATTATGCAGGAAGTGATCAACGAAGATGACGAGAAGCTGAAAGAGTTGAGGGACGAATATGGTGACACCGTGTTCAAGGCTGTTGGCAAAGCACTGATGGAATTGAAAGAATATAATGCGAGCGGAGGGTATCCGGTCCCCGAGGTTTGGAACAGGAAGGAGGGAAGGAGAGCCACCATGAAAGAAATCGTCGAATACTTGATCAAGCAACTGAAGATTCATAAGGGTAAGGGCAAGCGAAAGCGTACCAGTTAAGCCATCTTCATGGCATAAGCTTACTTATCCATTGCAGCTTCCATCATTACAAGCAAATTTGGAATCATATCTCCTTCAACTTGTCATTTTAAAACTATAAATGAAATGATCATGAGCTTGCTTTCGATGTTGGAGGAAAATGTATTTGTCTTAAAGCTAGAATCTCACTTCTAAATATTTTTTTTTAATTCTAAGACCTCCTATAAAGGAGTTTATGGCGCTAAGACAAAAAAAATATTAATACAAACTACCCTGACAAATTATTGACGGAAAACCAAAACAACTCCAAGTTTGTCTTCTTTTTTCAACGTAAACAAAAGAGAACGACAATCACTTCTCCAGACCTATGCCTCTCAAGTTCATCCATACCACACCTTAGATACCTACAACTTATATGGATTTATTTAAACACCGCATTTCATCATGAAAGTAATGTAAATGTGGCTTGAGTGCTAAAACGATAAGAGTATTTTGCTAAGACAACAAGCCATTATAACCTGATTTTTCAGCAGCGTATGAAGTTTGAATCCACGACGGAATCGAGTTGGAAGAAAAAGCTTGTCCCTAGCAGAACAAAACTTGGTAACAACATCACCCATGCCCATCCACTCACTCGGTTGTTCAGCAGAACAAGTGAGACCTATTTCGAATATCAAATTCAAGTACTGAAGACTTTCATTTCTCATTTTGTTTTCATTGCGAGTGATATCTGTAATTGTTCCTTCTCTGACACTCTTGAAGAAGGATGTGATCTATAATCTCAACCATTCGATCAGGAAAAGCATCAGAAACAAAGTTGTGAATACTTAAACCTTCTTTAAATATTTCATCAGTTGGCCTTTTCCCTGTAAACATCTCTAGCAAGAGGATGCCATAGCTATATACATCACCTTTAGTTGACAATTCGCATCCCATATCATATTCTACAATTAATACATCACAAGTTACATGTACAAATAAATGTACAATAATTGAAGAGAAAAACACTAAATAATTGTAGAAGAAATGAGTACATTTCTTACCTGGTGGAGCATAACCAATAGTTCCTCTTATGCCAAGGGACCTTGATTGATTAGAAGGATGGTTAAGTCCATCTTCATAAAGGACTTTTGCTAAGCCAAAGACAATTATATGGCCAACCATCTTGACATCGAGTAGGATATTGCTTGGCTTGAGGTCACAATTAATGATCGACGTTTCACAACGATGGTGTAGATATTCGAGTGCATGAACAACATCTACAACCACATTAACTCTTTGGTAGAAGTTCAAGTTTCTCATCGTCTCCGATTCATTCATGGTGATAGATGGATGCAACCAGTCCTCCTAACTTCCATTTTCCATGAACTCATAAATCAAGGCTTTAAAATCATTGCCTTTGTAATCGACCCCTGAAACGTCTGTTAATACCTTGACAAGATTCCAATGTCGAATGTTCTTCAAGGCCTCATTCAGTCAAGAAACTCCTTGATGCTCTACGATTTAGAAGATGAAGCACCTTTACTGCAATAGTTGCTATTCTCTCTTCGAGATATCCTTTGTATACAGAACCAAAATTTCCCAAACCAACCAAATTCTGTGTGGCGAATCTAGTAGTAACCCTTAGGAAGATTTGGTATGATAACTGTAAAAGTGAATCTTTTGCACAAGTTGATGGTGGATTTTGCTCTTTCTTCTTCCCAACCCATAAGATAAGGAGACAAGTGAAAACCAAAGTCACTCCTAAAATCACAATAATAATTGCAATTTTCAATCTGACGGAAGTGTTGCTGATTTTTTTCCAGTCATATCTTGATAAATTTAACTCAGGGATGCCTCCACAAAGCTTATTGTTTCCCTCAACAACGTAACATTTGCATTCTTGAAGACTCCTTCATTTGGTACCACTCCCTCAAAATCATTAGACGAGAGATTTAAAAAATTTAATGCCCTTAGGTTCACAAGAAATTTTGGAATCCCACCTGAAAGATTATTGTGGGATATGATCAATGCCTCAAGGCCTCTTAATGAACTCAAAGATGATAGAATGGACCCTTAAAACATATTGCCTTCCAAAAACAACTTTTGTAGACTTACACAACTACCAGGGCTTTTTGGAAGCAGACCAGATAACATGTGAGAATGATCCAATACACTTAGATTTTACTTCAATATGAAGTTCGCCAATCAAACGGTTTGAGGATAAGTTTAGTAAAATGGTCAAGGATGGGATCCTAAGTACTTGAGGCGCTATTTGTCCACTAAGATTGTTAATAGAAAGATCCACGTATAGCAACATTTGGCACTTACCTAGATTTGAAGGAACGCTGCCATGAAGATTGTTAAAATCTAAAACAAGTTGGATTAACATTGTTAAATTTCCAATGAATAACCCCAGAGAGAGAATTAGTATCAGAGTAAAAGAGCTTTAGCTTCTGAAGCCTCCCAATATTGGTTGATTTCCTGGAACAGCTAGTATCTCCAAATTGATGAGATTTCTAATCCCATCAGGAATTCTTCGCACTATCTTGTTCTCCCCTATTCCTAGTTTTGAAAGGGTTCTAGAAAATTTGCTAATGCATTCGGGAAATTCCCCTCCAAAATTATTGAGGTCTATGTATAGAAATTCTAGTTTGGTATGGTTGACTAGAGAGCCGGAAAAATTCAAGTCGCCCTCCCTCCCAAATCCCAAATGGTTATCGTTTAGGGTTAACATGAATATTTTATCCAGCTTTTCTAATGAAGGCACATCTCCCCTGAATTTGTTTTCTGCAAATTGAAGTACATTCAGATTTGAGGCATTGGATATTGAAACAGGGATTTGTCCAGAGACTTGATTTCCCGCTATGGAAAAGAACTCAACATATGGCAAAGTGATTTCTGAATCAGAATGAAGGAAACCTTGAATCTTGTTTGTACCAATATCAAAGGTTATAAGATTAGAGAGATTGAATATTGAGACAGGAACAATACAAGATATTTCATTTCTGCCTACAATGAAAACCGAAAGGTTTGTCAATCGTCCAAGAGCTTCAGGTATATTCCCACTTAAGGCGTTAAAACTCAAACCAAGTTTCTATAGTGATAAGTTACCTAATGATGGTGGGATAGTCCCTCTCAAGCTGTTGTTGTAAACGCCCAAGACTTTCAAGATTGACAAGAAACCCAACGAAGCAGGTATTTCTCCTGTTAGCCGGTTGCCTCTCATATCAAGCTGATAAATTGGAAGGAATTTCACCACTGATGGAGTTATTGGTGAGGTCTAATATTTCCAATCTTCTTACAACGACCAATTTCTTAAGGAATCTTGTTGTAGAAGCTGTTGCCCACTAGACTCCACTCTCTAAGAAAGCTCGAGTTTCCAATATAGGGTGTAAAAGATCCCGAGAGTTTTATGAATATGTGAAAGTCCAGCCATTTGGTACAATTAATGCATTGAAGGGCAATTGTCAAAAATTTTGGGATGTAGAAATTGTTTTTAATATTCGGTGCAGTATTTGTTGATTTTTTAATAATGATAAAATTTTAATTTTAGTCATTGTAATTTAGAGTAATTATAAATTAGTTCTTAAAGCTTCAATTATAAATATTCTAGCTCATTTAACTTCAAAACTATCCCAAAGCATTCTAGCTTTCTTCCAATATTAGAGAGAATTTAGAGAGTTTCTTGAGAGTTGTTTTCTCCTTTTTATCAAGAGAGAATTATCATTATTTTCTCCTTGGTAGATCGAGAGAATTTCTAATTCCTATTTCTCATAGTGAAATTCTTCTACCGTTGCCCGTGGTTTTTTACCCTATATTATTTAGGGGTTTTCTATGTAAATTTTGTATCTCTTTTATCTTCAATTTTTATTTTCTCAAATTATCAGTTGCATTTTTGCTCTATCCGTTAGCCGTCTTCTGCAACAATTGGTATCAGAGCCAGATTAGAGTGTGTAATATCTGCTTATTGTCTTTGTGGTTGCCACCAAAAGGTGGATCCTCCAACATAAGAAAGTAAGAAGGTATTACTCATTCTTTGAAGGTTCCAAAGAACTATTCACGATAGTGAAATAGTAGGAGCTATCCGTAAAAGAAGCTATGGCAATAAAATTTGATATTGAAAAATTCAATGGGAGAAATTTCTCATTGTGGAAATTGAAGATGAAGGTCATCCTGAGGAAAGACGGTTGTCTAGCAGCTATTAGTGAAAGGCCGTAGATTTCACAGACGACAGCAAATAGATCTAAATGGACGGGAATGCTATGGCAAACTTTCACTAGCATTAGCAGATGAAGTATTGTCAAGCATCGAGGAGGAGAAGACAGCTAAGGAGATATAGGATCATCTCACCAAATTGTACGAGGCCACATCGCTGCACAATAAAATTTTCCTTAAGAGAAAATTGTACACTCTCTGTATGCCAGAATCTACTTCAGTGACGGAACACTTAAATACACTAAACACTTTATTTTCTCAGCTTACATCCTTAAGCTGTAAAATATGAGAACAAGAACGTGCTGAACTTTACTTCAAAGTCTACTTGATTCGTATGATCAACTCATCATCAACTTGACAAACAATAATGTCACCAGTCTAGTCTTCGATGACGTTGCAGCTGTTGTTCTACAAGAAGAAAATCGGCGCAAAAACAAGGAAGACAGATAAGTAAATCTGCAACAAGCAGAAGCATTGACAACGATGACAACGATAAGAGGGAGATCAACAGAACGTGGCCAAAGCAACAGTCACAAACATGGTAGATCAAAGTCGAGGAGCAAGAAGAATTTAAAGTGCTACAACTGTGGAAAGAAGGGTCACTTGAAGAAGGATTGTTGGAGTCTAAATAAAAACTCCAATCCACAAGGCAATATCGCAAACACTTGATATGATGGAGATGCTCTATGCTGTGAAGCGTCAACCACCGTGGAAGGTAGAAAGAGATATACAGATATATGGCTCATTGATTCGGGAGCAACATATCACATGACCTCAAGAAGAAAATGGTTTCATCATTATGAACCTATCTCAGGAGGATCTGT